CAACCCATCACATTCGGCCAAGGTTAAACTTTACCGCCCTGGCATCTTCTGCCAGTAGGTTGGGAAGGTAGCGGTGGCATCGCTTTCTTTTCTTGAGGCATTTGCTACGTGTTGCCAGACCATCGCAACTGTGACTTAGTCGAAAGAAGCAGCGGCTGTACATTAAGGCTGTCGCGGATTTCTGTACGACGGGCCATACCGAGACGCATAAGGCAAGCCATTCTTCCCAGAGAACCCGTTTCTGCCGCTTGTACCCGGGATCGATGTTATTCAGTCATAGTCCACGACTGATGAACATGCGAGAAAGAACGACTTTAGCACAGACAGCATTGTTTTCAGACTTACCTCGTTTAATCACAACTATTTAGCCTGATTCACGCACAATGCCACTGGCGACTTCAATCCGCCGGTCGATCTATTCCTCCCGTTTTTCATCATCAGTAAGCACGACCCCGTGGTACTAGATCTTCTCCAACTACTCCACTGCTTCTCTGTTAATCTGAAGAAAGCAGCGGACAGGAGAACGAATAAGCACTAGAAGTTTCTTTCTAGATACGGTCGCACGCGTGCCACTTACGTCGCACTCAACTGTGAGCCTTTCCGAAGAGCGTCGTAGAACAGTTTCAGGTGAAGGCAAGAAACAGGATCATCTGCAAACAGTACCCTTCTCGTTTCCTGCGCTGTCCATGTACAACAAAAGCGAAAGTGAGGACAGAACTCAGCCTTGGCGTGACCAGTGCTAATTTCGTTTACTCTGACACATTGTGATTGGGTGGCTCATATCAACTGGCCGTTGATCCCATATGTTCGCAGGCATGCCCACAGACGTTTGCACGGAATCCGGTCATAGGGTTTTCTCAGGGTCAGCAAGGATAGGCGAACTTCCATGATTTCTCAGTAGTGTGGCGTAGGACAAGTATATAGTCAGAGGTGCTTCACTCGGGTCGGAAGCCACACAGCTGTTCCCGTATCTTGTAAGTCAATTATTCCACAACCCTTACTTTCTGGCACCTTTGCGAAGTCATTTTTCGCGAAGCTCAATAAGGTAATGCTCGATAATTGGAGCATTCATTACAGTCTCTCTTCTTGAACAGGGGTACTACAATTCCGCTCATGTCTTCTTCTGCTGATAGCCATTGCAAATCTGCAGCTCAACATAAGGTTTGTTCGCGTAATTCTTTAAGCATTTCAGCGCAAATTTCATCGATTACTACAACCTTTCTACTTTTCAAGATTTTCACAGTTTGTGTAATTTCATTTACAGAGATAGCAATATCCGTTCCCTGCTGCTCTACAGGCGAGTCTTCTTGCAGTTGCTTTGGGTTAAGGAGTTCCTCAAAGTACTGTTTCGCCAGAGAATGTCATCATTCTCGGTAAGAGGGTGTCCAGACTTGTCTTTTGAGATTCTTAGACTGTCCCTTCTTTTCACTTCGGAGCCGGTGGTTGGTCTGCCATAATGCCTTGTTTCCCGTCTGGAAATTCGATTCCAACACTTTATCGACCTTCTCAAAAGAATCATCGTTGGATTTCGCCATTGCTTTTGCTACCACCTTGCGCTCCTCTTCGTACTGCATTCGAGTTGAAGGCCCATTACTTTTAAACTACCGCTTGAATTCAGCATTCTTCTAACTCGCATCCAGCTGAATGTCTCACGTCTGTAAGGGAAATTTGTTTCCGACCTCCAGGCGGCAGACTAACCCACGACGTAGCATCCCCGAGTACGCCGGTCTTAGAGAACTTCCCACTCTATTTCCACATCAGCGGTCATCCTCGGGATATTTTCAAACCGTCGTGCGCTGTTGTTTGCAAATTTCGCTCTCGTGTCCACCGAGGATAATGTTTCCCATTTTATTCTCCGGTTGTTTTTGCCACAAGATCTTCGTATGGTTCTCCATTTCTTACAGCGCAGCGCGACAACAACAAATTGATGATCGACTGATTGCTCTGTGCCTCTTTACGTGAACATCCATTACAAAGCATCGTAAGTCAAACAATACGATTATCAGATTGATCATCGACTTCTTTGCACGATCTTACCTATATCAAATATGTTGATGTGCGGTTCGATGCATGATGAAGATGTTCTTAGCAGACAGTTCGTCCATGACATATTTGCACAAAACTGCAACAACTTCCTGGAGTTATTGTTGAACTCACCATGGTCGTTCTTTCCAGTCACACCTTTCCTCTTTTCGGCGTATGCACTAACATGCGCACTGAAATCGCCCATTAGAATGATGGATTGCGTATTCGACACTTTGTACAGAACACACTCCATTAAAGACTCATATTCTCCCTCGAAACTGGTCTCATAGACCTGTAACAAGGTTTTTGGTCAAAGTTTTTGCCTGTTGTAGCTTCAGTTGGGTAATGCCTGCTCTTCTGCTGACAGGCAACAATTCTGTGGTTCTGTCAGTCAGGTTTAGTTCCCACAGAACACAAACACCGTTTTAAACGCTCATCGTAATGTCGATGCCTAAGTAGAATAGCTTTCACTCACACAGGTTCTAAATTCCAGAGCCTCCGCGCCTGGAATTGATATCTAGTAGCCTCATCAGTTAGCTCCTCACCTTTCCTTCTGAATTAGGATATGTTCCTATTTCAGATTGTGATCTTCCATTATCAGTATCATTCCCATCGTGCTTTTTCTGCCATGTAATAGCATCGCGCCGCCTGTCTCTTCTCTTCAGGCCTTAGTTCTCCAGCAGCCTGCGCAGTCCTGGTAACCCGACCAAGGCAGTATGATGTTAAATTATTAAAATACCGTGATAAACGCGAGGCAGAGTATTACGGAGGCCTCACCACGGTTTCGACATTCGTCTTTTCTCATCCGGCATGATACCGGCAACGTCGGAGTTCCTTTTTCATGATTTGGTGAACGCGTTATTTTACTTAATTTGAGCGCAACATTTATGAGTCGTCATTTTGTTAGTCACTCTGCAGTGAGCTTCTGATGTGTACGCTGATTGCGATTCTCTCGTTAAATATACGATTCTGTTAGAACTGTTTTTTTATTTAGATTACTGTTACAGAACGACTTCAGGTTTCTTTGTTTTGTAGGGTATCCTTCTTGCCTTTTGAAAGGTCAGAAGGCGGACGTGCCCGTTTCGTTGTCACAAATCGATAGTTACGTTTGGCGTGCCTCGTATGTACCGTATATTCCAGGTAATGCGCTACTCTCTTGCTCTCTGTTCGTCTGTAAACGAATGCCATTACTTTTCTTAGGACTCTACAAGCTGGAAATAAAATGGCTTGATAAAAACGTTCAGGGCTCTCCCTTTCGGGTGCAAGTTATTGCCAGTGGCGATGCGAGCAAGGTGATTGTTAACTTTGACGCTTTCCAGCACGGAGTTGTCGGTCAGCAGCTGAAAACCTCGGTTGATATTCGGAAGGCTGGCTCAGGTGAAATACATTGATTTTGCGTTTTGATTGCTTCTTGTTTCAGCATTTGTATCAGGATGTAATACACAAATTTGCAGTTCCTAAGTTCGCGATGGGGTTTTTTTTCATTCAATCGCTTACCCGTGATAGTGGGTTATGTGAATATGCTAATGTATTATTTGTTTTTGTTACACGTATCATTCGATTTACGAACGTAACTCGTTTCTTGACAGCTACGCAGAAGGTAAGCATTCTTAAATATTGTTTTAAATTTTCGTTATTTCAGTATAAAACCTTCTGACTCGTTCTCTACTCCAGCAAAAGTCGCCTGATATTTTTTTGACTAGCTGTTCAAGATTAATTTCAATTATGAAAATATTGACTTACTTGAAGCGGCATCTTTCACTATAGTTACTGCATTGCTCACCACGGTAAACGGTGTTGAAGTGCTGAAGCTAAAGTTTGAATCGTATCCCATTTTCTGTTCATGCAATTATAACATCGGAAGCTATGTAGCGAGTAGTTGTTATGAAAGCCTTATTTGCTGTAGTATAAGAATCATACGTGTAATGCAAGTCTACGTTCGACAGAGATATTCTCATTTCTTCCACACTACTGTATACCGTAATATTATATGGCAAAAAAATTGAATGCACTGAAAATGCATTGACAGTATAACTGTTTCATCAGTAGATGGAAATATTGTTATTATGTACCGAATTTGGTGCTTGCTGTGTATTCGCTTTTTTATTATATGCCTGTACTTTCAGAATTTTGTTCAGTTAATGCTCTCACTTGTTATGCTCATAAGTGGATTTATTGTAGATAAGATTTAGCTGTTTTTGGGATGGATGAATAAATATGGAGTTGACCCGCAACATTTCCACAATGCTTCTTAGTCATGATATCTTTTTCTGATACTGATTCCCATAAAGACACGTGTTGTGGTAGCTGTCGTTGCCATTATTTACTTTGCCCGCTGTTTCCGGAAGTGAGGTATTTGCTTGACCATCGGTATCAAATTTCGTGAAAAACATGATGAATTCGTTATGCCATCGCGTTTATCCTCTGAATAATGAACGACAACTAATGAGCAAAAGGGAAAGAACACTAAACGCTCACAACTCATCAGAAAATCGAGAGGCATTGAGAGTAAGAGCAAACTCTCTGATGACTGTTCGTGTCTATGCCAATGAAAGGCATTCTGTCAGAAAACGAAATGAAGATAAGATCCGTAAGTTACTGCTCTGCCCAGCAGCTGCAAGCTTCATAAAGATTACGTATCAGCCTTACCTACCTGCCTGTTGTCTATAAAATTCATGTAGTGCAAATATTGTGCTGGGACTTCCTGTCAGACGTTTATAACTTGTGAGTGCCCACTAGTTACGGAGAAGATAGCAAATTGTACTTAACCTTCAGGAACAATTTTAGAGTTGCGTCCCATCGTTGTCAGCTCTATGCACACTGATTCGTAGGTTTGACTTACGGTAACCTAGGTAATATCTCTGATCTGAACCGTGGTTGCTATTTTATCAGTATCGTCGAAAGCTAAGAGATCTTAAGCCGTTGAACAATCCAGAATAAGAGCGTCTCAGATGCCCAGGTGTGCATTAGCCTATGGCTCTAACTTACATTCAGTTAAAAGCCATGAAACTATTAAAATTTTTCAACGGTCGTTACAGACTTGACTGTTCTGCCTGATGAACTTGTTCGTTTTGTTATGTCTGTGCCGTAACTTCTTCCCCAAAGTTATGAATATATTACTAGATATGTATGTAACCGTGTATCGATTCTTCAGGTGAGCTCATGGCGCAATGCGCCGGACCCACAAAGCCGGCATTGTGCGATTTAATTGATAATCAGGACGGAACTTATACTATGACTGTGAAGGCGGTCGAAGTTGGAAATCACGTTATTACGACCAAATTCAACGGGGAACACGTCCCAGGTAGCGTTATGCACGAATGTATTTCACTTACTTTGCTGGTTTGCAGGAAGCCCACACTCCGTTTTCATTTCGAGTCCCCCAGACTCGAGCAAGGTCCGCGTGTACGGAAGCGGGATCGAACACGGCATTTTGTCTACATTTGATAGTACTTTTTATGTTGATACTAAAGGGGCTGGCGCTGGACAGCTGACTATCCGAGTCAGAGGCCCGAAAGGTACTGTTTACTATACTTTCCATACATATAATTGGTTATATTTCACCTTTCTCAATTTAAGGTGCATTTAACGTTGAAATGACGAGAGAAAACAAGAAGAGCCGGCTGATAACATGCCGTTATGAACCAAAAGAGCCTGGCGATTATCACATCGATGTAAAGTGGGCCGGCGAACACGTTCCGGATTCGCCGTTCACGGTCATGATTTTTGACACTCAGACGGAACTGGATCGCTTTCTCTCTGGCCAGATGATGAACCCTCCGTATTCGTATCCGTTTTTTCCACCCGGATGGATAGGACCTCCTCCCGGTGTTCTGGTTTCTCCGTCACCTTCTAACACTATTTACTCGCCCATGATATCATCTCCCAGTCTGCCATATGGTCCAGCTCCTCAGTCACCGTATTTTACTTCCAAGAGCGTGCACTGATAGATCGACTGACGTTCTTTTATTATTTCGTTTTTCTTTCGAACAGTGGCTGTTCTGGTTTAATAATGTTCAAAAGCATTTTAACATTATATTTTGTTGTTATTGTTTTGCATAATTTATATTATTTTCCGCGTATTGCGAAAGTTATCTGTTTGTTGTTGAACCGCTACTTCATATATGACATTCTGTAGCAGTTTTTTTGGAGTCAGTAGCGAAACAAAAGTTTCCAAAGTAAAGTCTACTGAATTTTCAGAATCTTGACCTGTTCTCTCACTTCTTAACTTCAGGTCATTTGGAGAACTGGAACACGTTCACTCTTCTTATTATGATGCTGCTTCTGGTGTCGGCAATGCACCTTATGTGTAAACCTCAAAGTTGAACTTGCTCATGCTCTTAGTTTCGTGTTGGCGGCTGGCGGAATTCCGCCTGTGTAATGTCCTGCTATATTTTGGGCTCTTGCGGTAACTTCGCTTCTGACTGCATTCAAAGTCGAACTCCTTATATATAAACAGAATTTCGAAAGCGGGAAATTGCGTAAGTGTAGCAAGTGATTAGTTTATAGTACACAGTGTCTCGTAAAGTTGGAAGGCAGTCAACGC